AAACGGTAAGTAGACTAGAGTATCTACTATATATATATACTATATACTATATAGTATATATATATATATATATATATATATATATATATATATAGAAAGATAGAGTTGCATCTTAAATAGACCATTCTTCTTCGGTTCTTAGGAAGTGCAAGTTAGTTCAAGTGGAAGGACTTAAAAGGGCAAGAGATAGACCCAAAATGACATAAGTTGGAAGTAATTAGGAAAGATATGGAGACTTGTGGCCTCACTGAGGGCTGGCCTTTAATAGAGCAGAATGACATATCAGTATTCGTGTAGCCGTTAATTAATTGGAAAGAGGCTAGGATGATGATGATGATGATGATACAAACAATAGATGGCTTTTCCAATGATTGAGATTGGTTGAGCAAAACATGGATCCAAATATAGAGCTATGATTTTCTACAATTCACAACAAATAAGTAGATCACAGCAAAGGCTAACAATATGAAACAGAACAACCAATTCAATGAGAAATGAAAATTGTGTTAGAACAATAAGTAGAACAATATCATACTATAACAAAATGAACTATGGAAAAACCATACCCATTGGGGCCATCACCATCCATTGAAGTGACAGACAGTGATGCAAAGAAGATGCGAACCACCACAACAGGATACGATCCTGGAACAGGACCCACTCCCTTCATCGCCATTCCTTTCAACAGATGGTGGTGAGCCATTGCAGTATGGTTCCATAGTCCATTGGATTAACTAAGTACATAGAAACAAAATTATGAGTACTCACTCCTGATTTAAGACAAATCTAACTGCATTTCCAAGGGTGTGATCCTCATCGGTCAGTGAAAATGTAGAAGAGTTCGGGCTTTCAAGGGACCCTGATTCCATTATGACAACTGTTCTGGCTTGCAAAGACATAGAAGTGGAAAAAGTATCAGGCTAATTTCAAACAATGGTAAACCAACAAAGCCCAAATGAAGATCATGGGTTAACCCATCTGAATACCAATGGCAGAAATGTTGTTTCAAGAGAAAGATTCTACTACATAAGACTAGAATTCAGTGTTCTATTTGTGGGAAACTATACTACAATCTAATGGACTATGTAAAAACCAGAGTTCACTGTGCGATTGCTGTCCATTGAAATAACACACACACACACACACACACAGAGCTTATTGCACCACCACTGTCCCTTGAAATAACACAGAGGGAGAGAGAGTTTATTGCACCATCTCTGTTCCTTGAAGAAACACACACACAGAGCTTATTGCACCACCACTGTCCCTTGAAATAACACAGAGGGAGAGAGAGTTTATTGCACCATCTCTGTTCCTTGAAGAAACACACACACGAACGTGCGCGTGTGCACACACACCCAAAGAGAGAGAGATAGAAAGAGAGAGAGAATAAGGGAGAGAGTGTTTATTGCGCCATCACTGTTCCTTGAAATAACACACACACACACACAGAATATTGTGCCATCACTGTCCCTTGAAATGAGAGAGAGAGAGAGTGGACAAGACCCCCACTCTCTCCATTACCGCTCATCATTCTAACGATAGTAATGGCCCTATTGATCAAGGTGTGATTTCATAGTCCATTGGTTCACTTTCCCTTCTATTTTTGTCATAACAGTGATAAGGTAAGAATGGCCCTGATGCAACCCATGCCCAATCTTTTTTCACTCAGTTGCTAAAAAATGTTGTTACAATACTTGTAATTTTTAAAAATGTAACATGGAAGGAAGCAAGTTCATAAACTAAAATCTATAGTGTGGATGAAGAAAAAACACGAATTTATACATAATGCACTCATTGTATAACTAGTTAACACAAATTCTAACACACCGATATGATTTTGAAAATTGCAATATGCAAGAGATGTTCAGATTTAAACCTGTAGCATGAAAAAATAGAGAAAAATGCAAAAAAAAATTAGAAAGATCTACTTTTCACATTTTTAACAAGAGTTGGTGTGATTTGCAAAATAATAGTGGAGAAACAACATTCACAAATTAAAAATGTAGTACAAATTACAAATTGTTGCATACAAATGTCACATCCATAGATGATTATAGCACAAACAACTCATAGGATGGCGCACACTTCTAATTCCATAAATTTAAGTTATGCATGGAGCACTCCAAATAAGAAACAGATGATAATTTGGAAAAGAAACTGAAATTATTGATTTGAGGAAAATGCATATACAAATAATAAGGATCCGAAGACTAGGAAATTACTATACACTGCATATATGGTACATCAAAGATGCAGTAGGTGTCATGGTTACTGTAGAATAAAGCAACTATAATTGAACATAAGGCCCTCAAATCCTAAATCTAACAACAATCCAAAGCTTGATCATCATCATTATCATTGTGAATGCCTTTAAACAACTAATTGGGGTCGGTCACACGAATCATGTTCCGCCATTCTGCTCTATTAAGGGTCATACCCTCAGTGAGGCCATAAATCCCTATATCTTTTTTTACTACTTCCAACCATGTCCTTTTGAGCCTATCCATTGCCCTTCTTTAGCTTTCCACTTGAACTACCTCGCATTTCCTAACAGGTGTTGTGTTGGGTCTGCGCCACACATGGCCATCCCACCAAAGTCTACTCTCTTTCATCTTATCGCCTATTGGTGCACACCTAAATTTTCCCAAATGTATTCATTTTGGATTCAATCCCTTGTTGTCTTCCCCTCATCCATCTCAACATCCTCATCTCCACTACACTCATTCTATAGGTATATTGTTTTTTGACCACCCAACATTCTGCCCCATAGAGTAAAGTTGGTCTCACAGTTGCCCTATAGAATGGCCAGTTAGCTTCATTGGTATGTGGCGATTGCATAAACTTCCGGTAGCACATCTCCACTTCGCCCACCCAGCTCTAATTCTATGTGCGACATCTAACCCAATCTCTACATTTTCCTGGATTAGCGACCTAAGCTTACAATACATAAATAGTCAGGGAAGTACTCTAGAAACTGAGAGCGAGCGACAGTTAAAAGAGAAAAAAATATTAGGAAAGAGCAAAGACAATTAAAAGAGAGAAAATCATTAGAAGTTGAAACAAAATCTATAAGATAAGATTTTGCGTTTTTGAACTTAACCTTGTCCACTAGCTCCACTAGAGAGAGAAACACAGAGAGAGAGCTATGCGGAAGGGAAACTTTGGTGAAAGTGAAAAAAAGGCTCACCTGTTGTCGAATGAACAGTTTAGCCTGATGGGAAGCTTCAATGGAGTGTCTGAAGAGGAATCAAAGGCATTCTTTTTTTTAACTAATGACCTCTGATTTATAGTCCAATTTTGACACAACAATAGTGTCATGCTTGGATTTTATAAGGGTATTCTTTATTAAATCAAGGTTTGACGAACTAGTCTCGCAGACAAGCGTGGATTAGATTAGGGTTTCTCTGAGAAATTGAAATTTGAGCATGCTCATGGAATTAGTTGTGCAAAACTGGTCTGAAGTAAGGGTTTAACAATTCGGAGTTTAGGGCGCCCTTTAAAACCACAAACCGAGTCGAGACCGTCCTACAGTGAACTAATCCGGATGGATTAATTCGACGGGAAATAAAAAAGGAAAACTGAAAATGTACAAAGAAAAAACAGTAGAATATCTTTTAATGGAAGAAGTTTATATAAGGTTGCAACCTTAAACGGTAGAATTAGGTACAAACTTAAAAAATCATCGAAAAATATTGTTTTGATGTTGGTAAACCCTCTAATTGGTCATCTT